CTGCAATATTAGGACTGTTGGTGAGTCAACAGCGGATCAGAGGAGGAGCTGCCGTGGGACATAGATGACAGTTGCTCTTTAAAAATTATGATTTAATCGAGTTGATTTAAATCAAGCCTTTTTACTAATGATTTAAATCGACTTGATTTAAATGGACTTGATTTAAATCAAATCCACCCTGCTAAAAATCCACCCTGTTAAAAATAATACCATTTCTGAAAACAAAGTTTCATAATGTAGTTTTGTCACTTCTTTTCACCAAAGTCGTCACAGGAATGACTTAAGGTAGAAAAGTTATTCTGTAAACAGTAGGTACAAGTTTTATCCCATAATGCCCAGATATAAATACACACTTCAAATTCAAACAGAATAGACATGGCATTCCCATGTCTGCCTTATGAATTTGCCAACCAATGCTATTCATTCCAAATATGCTTTTGCTTTTGCATTACGCAATTTTAAAGGAAAGGGAAGAACAATAAGATGTAATTCATAAAAAAATACTACTAAAAAAACCCTTTGCATTAATCTAGGATTACTTGACTTTATAATGAACTTTCCCACCAAATGAATGGATTTGTATCTTATTTTTATTATTTCACTGCAAGTCTGACAAAATAAGATAATCTGGGTCAATTTGAGGGTATGAGTGCATGCTGAATTGTTCATAGAATCTTTGTTTTTTTCTGGTCAACTTAAAATAGTAATTACATTTATGCCAGAAAGAAAATCTGTTACTGTTGAGTAAAGCAATCAGAAGTTAGCAAACATTTGTGTTCAATTTCACAGTATCTATTGATACTAAATTTAACTTTAACCTCAATCCATTTTATCCCTCTACGCTGCTTTTTTGCTGTTTTGAAAAACATTACTTTTACCAACTTCCCACTACAAGGCAGAGTATTATATTTTGTCATGTTCTGTATTTGGTTGAAATCTAATGTCAAATGCGAAGAACAAAACATAGTTTAGAAGCATCTAAGAAATACAAGATGGACATGGGATTTTTCTCCCATACACTAAATTTGATAATTTGATTTACAGCAATTTTAATTAAATGAAAAGCAAAAACTTAGTGAAATAAATGAATGGATCATCAAACAAATCAACCAAGGTTCTCACTTGAGGCCAAAATACCAAGCTCAAATTAACCTACTTTGGATGCATTATGCAAAGACCTAGCTCTCAGGAGCTGGGAAAGATAAAAAGAAATAGAAGAAGAAGAGGACCACCAGTTACAGTATGATGACTGTACCACTGAATGATCTGAAAGAATAAGTAAGGGATAGATCATCATGGAGAAAATCTATGTGTAGTTGCTAGGAGTCAAAAATGACTTGATGGCTAATTATAATAATTAAAAAAACGCGTAAGATCATATTCAAGGCGTAGTATTTTTGACTACAATCTAAATATGTCGAGAACTCAATAGGACATATATCTATGTTGATATGCATAGAATTAAGATGCAGATTTCTTAAATTCAAATGAGTAGCTTCCAGTATTATTGCAATTGTGGCGTTTATCTGATCTTTGTATCTGGATTTTACTGACATTCTAAGGCTTTTGAGAAACATCCCTTTTGCTAACATCTTTGTCTTAAATAGTTGCAACATTTCCTCTTTATCCTGAAATTATTAATCATCAAAGACGACTTAGAAATTTTAAACAAAAGTTCATTCTAAGAAGCAGTAAGTCTGCTCTAGTTCCTTTTTAATTGAAAGGCTTACATGGTCATTCCGTGGGAGAAATGCCATAGGTTAAGGGGAAAAACTGACAAGGAATGGCATTCAAAACCATTTTTTGAAAAAAATCTGCCTAAGCTCACTGTTTTAGCTTATATATAAAATACAGTATTGAGTAATTTAATGAGCATTACTATCACCCTTATTTGAAGTTTGTGTGGGTTTAACTGTTTGGCAGGTTTCACTATTATCCCAACACCCAGAATCGGACATCTAAGAATAAATATTCTGAATTTTATAATGCATTTAAATAAAATATATAGAATTACACTGCTTTGTTTTTGTGAAGAAAAGAACTGCATCCCTGAATACATATTTCTGCAATTATCTCAATTTATTAACTGTTCAGGAAGATTTTTTTAAAAAGAGAGAATTTTCACATGTATCAGATGACAACCTATATTATTTGAAGCAATTGTGCATCAAATGATCAGCTGGCAGAATCACTTAACTGTCTTGGATAGAGGCTGATGAGAATGTTGTAAATGTATCAGGACCCAGTCAAGTCAATGTTTCTCCATGAATTGCCCAAAATTGTAAATGTCATTCCTTAAGAAGGCTACAAAAAGCAGCAATATGGTCACTACAGCATCTTTTAAAAAAATTATGTTGGATTTTTCCAAGCAAGCATTCCATTTCTTATATTCCCCAAGCGTATTGGTAATAAATGGGAAAGCATTTATTTAAATTATTATTTGCCCCCCTCCCAAAAAAATAGCAGCATGATATAGTCTGGTATCAGAAGGATGGAGAAATAGATTGGTTTGGGATAGGATTCATAGCTAATGTATCTGCTGATTAGAAGAAGAGCAGTTTCCTCTAAATATTATAAATATTCATTCTCTTATTATCTGAAGACATAACATAAAATGGAGAGAAACTCCCCTCTTTCCTCTATGAATTACATGCAAAGATTCTCTTCAGAAAAGATTTTTTTTTCTGAAACAAGGAAGATTTAAATGCATTTTGATATATTAAGGTAAAAGTACATATTAAAAAACAACTCATTTAAATATTATTATTATTAGCAACATTATTAATAGTTAACAACCAAAATGTTGGTGATAAACAATTATACAGTGCTAACATGGACACTTCAAAACTTTAGAAATAGTAAAGGAAAATATATTTATTATTAATGATTATTGCCTTTTTTTAGAAATCAGAAATCTTTATGGTGCTGCTTTTTTGTACACAAGACTTTCAATGACAGTACATGCTATATCATCTGATACTTATGCAGTGTTGGAGATTAGCTGATCATATGCATATGGAATGTGCCCCAGAAATTCTGTTTAAAAAAAATACAGAAAGTTGTTGAGTGAGTCATCCACAGAACTCTGAAAACTGACTTTTTACTCTGTGCTAAATGGCCTGTCTTATAGCTAATGTCACTTCACAAAAGATGTCTGGTAACTCCCATAGCTCTGGCAGCCAAAATACTTTTTACAGGAGGATGATTAAGTAACTGCTTTGTAAGAACGGCTGCAGAAAATTGGTAAGACGGAGTAACAGACAAGACCTCAACATGCCTATAGAATACGACAAACATGTCTATTCAAAGAGAGGCCCCATTACATTCTCTGGCACTTATTTCCAATTAAGTCTTTATTTTTTAATGTTAATAAATTTGCATCATTCCAAATATGAACAGTACACCTATTGCTTAGGTTTAGGCTACAATATGAATAGGTTTAAATATTCTCCCAACGATCCAGGTTATTTTTTTTAATGATCCTATCCATTTATTTCTTGGGCACATCATGCTGTAATCAACTTAGTTTTATGATATTTGATGCTCAGTAGAAAGGTAAAATGCCATCATGAAAAGCATTATGCACAGTGTAATGTCTTCCATCAACATAAACTTTTGTTCAGACACACTTTATTTTTAAAAATGGTGTATCTAAAAATATACTGTAGCACAACCTTCATTCTTTGGCACAGACGTGACCATAGCTTATAAAAATTATATTATATATCATGGTTATATATGGTCACTTGGTACATCGTTGTTCTGTGTTTGTCACATACACAATAATTTTGTTTATATTACTAGCTTACTACAGTAGGTGCTGATGTAATTAAATAAGGCAAGAAAAATAATATAGGTTTGTGAGAGGCCTTCTCACAATCTTGTGAACATGTGTGTGCCTGCTTAGACAACCCTTGAAGAAGCTTGCTGAATTTTCCTATGGCTGCTTTGAGGCACAGATCAAGAAGAAACTTTGTTTGTGAGCAGAATATCTCACTGAATGATTTGCACAGGCTTCATCCATATCACTAAGTCAGACTGAAAATATTAATTGTCCCAGATATTTATGGTGTGAGAAGAGTTCCATAAAAGGAACTGGGCATTTGCCATAAATTCTCATCAGCTCATAATGTTTATAAGATCTGACTCTTACACATAATCAAATATCACAACAGACTTTCCATTAAAAAAAATCTAGCAAGAGTTTTGCTAATTATCAGTTCCCTCCAAATTGTACCATTAGGAACACATTTACATATCAACAAGATAGTACTGAACTAGATAAGACTTCAACAGAAATTGAAAATATTGGCAAATGCTCAATAAATGAGATGAGAGATCGAAGTAGGCAAAAAATGTGCATATATGTGTATAGATACACATACATAAACATATAAAAGCCAATTAGAAGCCAATTTAACCATGCACCAGCTACAAGATACTGAAAATATCTTGATAATTCTTGCCTGGCTCTTTCTAGAAGTACAAATAGCTAAAAAAAACAAAGCAAAACCACAAGGCTAAACTCCTGGTTTCTTATCATTACTACTACATGTGAACCATAAGCAAACCAAATGGAAGCTTATTCCTCTCTGAGGCAAAAAAATTAAATTACAATAGTATGCAGCTATTCTACAGTATGCCAAAATTCTCTAAGGCTCTGCTTACCAGCTATAACATTAGGCATAATTATGAAACGTCTGTATAGTTAATAGATTACGAATGTATAAGGAGAGCTAAGGGATGATTGTAAAGTTTATAATCGGTGTAGCCATGTTCTCCCTTAAAAAGTATCACCTAAAATTTACCAACACTAGACTTTGTTCTACAGATAATCCTTGATTTACAGTTGTTTGATTAATGATGATCAAAAACTGTTGCACCATCATCCCCATTGTCATGACTAGTTGTTTGGTAACTGTTTGAACTTATAACCAGTTGCCAAGTACTCTGTGATCATCCGAGTGCTATTTACAGCCTTCTCCACTGGCTTCCCCAGAAAGTCGGTGGGCCTTTGGGACAGCAGGGAAGGTTGTAAGCTGCTGTGCCTCCCTAGGCCTCCCTCATATCTCTGGAGGATGGCTGAGAAAATTGCATCCAAGGAGAGCTGAACTCTTCCAGCGGGGTGCAGAAATTGAGCAAAAATCCAGAAGATTCCTGCATCCTGACAAAGTACTTCCTTTCTATGCACAGAGGATTTGCGAAGATTTTATCAAGATTTCCTGAAGATTCTGGCTCCTTTCCTGTACCCTGCCAAAGGAGTTCTCTTCTGTGCATGGAAGGGAGGTGAACTCCTTCAGCAAGCAGCTCTTTCGGCCAGTCCACAAAGATGGCAAGGGAGCCAAAATCCAAGCAGAGAATAGAGAATCAGCATGGTAAGGAGCTGCCTCAGGTAAATGGGGGAAGTCCTGGGACGCTGGTGCAGGTTGTGCATGAGTGTCTCTTCATTGTTTTCAGCTCCTGAGTGGAACTGCAGTGCAGTAAGAAAAGGAACATGGAATGCCTTGGGAGTAGGGTAGGTCCTGGGAGGCCCAGTGCAGGCTCCACAGTAGTGTCTCTCTGCTTGGGGGGCTGAAAATCCTGTTTGGATTTCAGTAGGATGGATTTCCCCCATCCCCAAGGCACCCCACACTTCTTACCTGGAATTCTGTCCACCTAATGACACATCAGGAGTTCTGGGATTGCAAGCATTGAGTAATGCAGTCCTATGGGCAGTCACATATCTTACTTAATGACCGCTTTGCTCAACAACCAAAATTCCAATCCCAATTGTGGTCATTAAGTTGAGGACTAACTTTATAGAACAATCTGCCATTCTTCCAACAGCAGCTGCCACTGAATGTACCACTCGATTTTCTAAAACTGTATCAACATGACTACTAGAACCGTTTCATGAGAAATTACTGGCCATTTCTGACTCACAAAAGACAAGTAAATTATGTGAGAAAGATTGTCATGTGGATAGTGAGAACCAGGGCCCATCAAAGGAGTTATTTAAAATGTCTTTAAACCCATGGAAAGGCAGTTTTGGAACTTTGAAAGTAAGCTTAGTTCTGCCTATGCCTCAGATACAACATTTTCTCATCAGGTTCCCTCATGAATGAACTGATGGAAGCTACAGGGAGGGAGGGAGGGAGTAAGGGATGGAGATAGATAGATAGATAGATAGATAGATAGATAGATAGATAGATAGATCCAGAAACAAAAATGAATGGGCCACTCCTTCTACCTGACATGCTTTCTCCTATTTATGATACTTTTCTCTTTCATAATAGCTGCCATGAAATTGAAAAGTCTAAATTGTTTGCAGATGGCTTTAGTTGGAGGATACATTCACCCAAAGCCTGCAAGTTGCTTACGGCTGGCCCATAAAGACAAGCAAGTATTCTTAAGATTACATCTGGGACTTCTGAATGCAAAGGATTAATTCAAATACAGAATTTGAAAGTTATTTTTGGTAGAATGTAAACAGTCTTGGAAGAAGCACGCACCATCAAACTGCAAGCTCTCCAAATGACTCTGTCCCCTGAAAGCCTCAAAAAAGAGAAATGTTTTCATTTGTAGGAGTCACAGTCTTTTGGTTTCCTTTGAGGGGAAAGGAGCTTTTCAAAAAGTAAAGTTTTTCCAGCAAATCTTGTAAGTTCTTCCTATGTGCAAAGAATCCCTCATTTTACAGTCCTGCTGATTTCATGTTTTGACGCCAGTGCTTCTTAGGTAAAATAGAATTTAAAAACGAGAGTTGTTGCAAACAAATACCAGTAATTTGGAGATAGCGAATAACTGAATAATGAACAAAAGTGTGTAACTGTACAAAAGAAATTTAAAATGTATCCAGTACTTCCTCATAATGCAAACTAGTTACACCTTATTTCATGAACAATTTTAGAATAGACTAGCCTGGAAAATAATATGGGAGGGGGACGGGGGGCAGGACAGACTGCCAACAGGTGCCTTTAAAAGGAAGGTTTTGCAACTGAAGTTTCCACCAAACAAAAAAAGCTATCAAAATGCCACAAATTCCTAACAAAGTTGAAACACTGTCATTCATCTGTTTTACAATTTTAAAAATATAACCCTGCTTCAGTAAATCTATATGGCACATGCTCTGCATACTGTAACTCTCATGGAGTTTTCAAAGCACAGTTATTTGGCTAAATATTTTTTAAGATAATTAGAACTCTTAAGAGAGGAAAAGGAATGTGATAGACATCAAATACAAAAGACAGAACAGGGCGAAGTTTGAATATAGTAAAATCGAGCAAAATTATACAGTTATGTCTAAAATGCTGTATCATGCCAAAATGTTCATGCACTTAAAATGTTACTGAATCCTTATGATCCTCAATATGAATACAGTTCAGAATAAATCCAATGAAGCCTGTGATATAGACCTATATTGAAACAGACTAGTACTTCTATAGTCCGCACCAAACAAATAGTTCTCATTCAGTTCTCTTTTTCTCTCCACAGTACATCCCTTCCTTTTCCTGTCACAAGCAGGAAACTGCAGATTGAGAGGTTTCTGCAGAGTACAGCTAAATTTATTACAATGCAATCATCTTCTCCATCCTTCCCCTGTGGCAGCTGCTTCAGTTCTTCATGCAATGTAGCCAAGCGCATTTTAAAGAGAAGTTTTCATTGTTTGGTTAAAATTTTCCTTTGAAAGTATGTCTTCTTCCAAGGAGCCGCCTTTCATTAAGTGAAAACAGTTGCTCAAGGCAGAGTTCTCTTCTACAGAACACTTTCATGATTGTTGCAATCATACTGGAACTTCTTCAGCCTACTTGAGCAGAGAAAAATGGCTACATATCCCATCACATGCAGACTCTGCTATATTTGTCTCCTTAGGTCAGTGTGACACAGTCTGATTGGCAGAAGCCCTCCAGAGTTCCAGGCAAAATATCCCTCCCATCATCCATTACTTGATCTTTTAAGTGGAGATGCCAGTGGAGAAGACTAGAATTGGGACCTTTTGTACCTACAGCAGGTAATCCTTCACCAAGCTGCAATTACTCCTTAATTTCAACAGATATTTGCATTTGTATGGATACTTAACAGTTAAATAATTAGTTGCTTCTTCTATAAAATGTATTATGTTGGTGGAGTCCTTGCTACTCTCTGAGCTTGATTGTATTCTTGGGAGACATTTCATTACCCAACTAAATAACATCATCATGGTATTACCTAACTGGGTAATGAAATATCTGCAAGAAAACAACCAAGCTCAAAGAGCACCAAGGACTCCCCAGTTCAACCCTGAACTACACATATTCCCTTCTATTGGTATATTCTGTTTATCTCTCTGCAGTTCTGATATGATCTTTTATTATATAGAAATCGACCTACTTGCCTAGAAATACATAATACCAGATTAATAATTTTTGATTACATCCAATCTCTTCAAAATTATTTTTTAAAGGGGGAAATGGTTTATAAGTGCTCAAGCTCTACTAATCATTAGAATATTTTAAACTCCTGCTGTTTTTGAATGCTTCTCTAACAGAGAAAAAAGAACAGTCACTGAGGTTGAGCTGCAGCAGAAACATAAAAATATATTTATTACTAATGTATTTCAAGCCTTTACAATGGTTTAGACTGTAAATCCTAAACAACTTTCTTGGAAGTACATCCTATAAATTTAATGGGACTTATTTCTGCCCGTGGAAAGGCACCAGGGCTTGCAGTAAGGCTTCTTGTAAATTTAACCAGTCAGATACAGTGAAGTATAATACTTGAATTTCAGTCATTTGATTACCGAAATAATCTTTATTCAGTGATGGTTTTCCTCAATGGAACAAGCAGACCATGACCTTAATTCCTTCTTCTCCCTCTAAAACTGTTACCTAAAATATGTCCCTAGGGTACTTTTCCTGGGGGAGGAGGGGAGGGGGAGACAGGAAATTGCTAACTGCTACTATTATCAGTGAACAGCTCTATGAAGAGACACTGGGTCCAATGCAATTCATACAAAAGCCTCTACACCACATATAAGCCCTATATATAAGCCTATACATGGAAGCTCAGAAGGGAGCCACTGCAGCCTCCCTCACAGGGTTGTTGAATGCAGGAATATTATGGACACTGCTTTGAATTCCTAGAGGAAAGGCAAGAAACAAATCTAATCTTACTGGAAACAACAGGTAAATAATGATGCCCATAATTCAATGGAGCCACACATGGAAAACGACAACCAGCCTGTTTCCAGATCAAGAAATTCATGTTCAGGAACAGCAACAGAAATGCCTCTATGATTACAACACTAATTGGTTTTCTCTACTGAGATTACATCCTGTGCAAGAAACTGATGCCGAAGGATTCCTCCTCGCTCCCATTTTTAATAGGATTACTCCTCAGTGAATGATTGTGGATTGATGACTAAATTGTTAATCCGTAAAATGTGTGGGCATGTATCTTTAAAACGTTAATTCCAGGAATAAAATTAAGCTGCAAGAGCATGGCTCTTCCTTTTGTAAAAGTTTACTGTGCACATTTTCAAAACATAGCTGACCTTTCTTAAAGATGATTTTATTAAACAAATAAATTAACAACATATCTACTCTCTTAAATCTCTGCCTCTCTTTCAACAATGAAAACTGAACTTCATAAGAGTGAGAAATGCAGAGAGTAAAGTTATAGTTTGGATGACAAAATACATGCTTATCTCTTTGGGATGATTCTATCAATTTTAAACATTTTAGCACAACTTAGAATGTGTTATACAACGTATTGATATATTGTGCAAGTTCTGCTATGCATAACAAAATTAACCAACATAGGCCAACCACTGAATCAATGTAAAAATTTTCATACGAGTTATGCCTAATTAATATTCTTGAAAGCAGCACACTACTTATATTTGTGAAGTAAGTATTATACTCTTCATGTAACAACAAGCAACAATAGTTGTTACTTGGAGTAAAATAATACTCAACCAAACAACAACTCTCAAACCAATATTTATGGACAACTAATAAAATAAACATGGTCTCATCAGCTTTCATTTGAAAAAAATTAAGCTCCAATATTAACAATAACTTGAATTCAAAAATCCTTAATTACTTTTCTCTAATTCATTTTACAACAGTTGCATTCAGAACGGAAAGCAAATCTTATTTTCAGAATTAAATCAGTATAGTTTTATTCTGTCATTTAAATTCAGCTCTATGTATGAAAATATCTATTGGACTCATGTTAACATTTCCCACAGATAAAACTATTTGCCCCTTCCTGAAATTATTTGCATCTCCTATTCAAAAATCCTTATTTTTACAAATGCCTCAGAAACAGATTTAATTTACATTAAGCAAGTAAGTTATTCATGGGTGTTAAAAGTATTTCTAGAATTGTTTGATTAAAATGTATTTTAAGGAAAAGAATTACCATGAATTAGGATTAAGTTGGGCTACTATTTTTATTATTAAAATGTTGTTTTAAATATTATCAATTAAGAAGCAATTAGAACTTTTGAGAACCACTACTGTTGTCTTAAATATAATGAACTGGAAGAAAGGGAATATGTACATTTATGTTAAGGATAAATCTAAACTATCAGCTGACCTATCTATTTCCTCAACAGCTTTTCAAGTATTTTGAATTTACATCTTAACAGAAATATTTCAGCATGCTCCATTGTTTTCATGATATAGGAAAATCCTGTTCCAAGAGATGATTTCAAAGATGTGTGCAATCCTTGCTAAAACATTATGGAGTACAAGAAGAACTGACACCATCTTCTTCTTTCCAAATGACAAAAAACAAAGGTGTGTGTGTGATATGCTCCTACAACTGAGTACAAGCACGGAAAGAAGCATAGCAGGTCTATTCAAAGCACTGTAGTGTAATTACATATTGCTTAATGAAATGAACAGGTTGTTTAAGTAGCATTATGTTTCTACGTATGTGGAAGAAACATAAGACATATTTGCAAAGACTGAACAGAAACAAATTACAGATAGTCCTTGACTTACAATAATTCATTTCGTGACTATTCAAAGTTACAACAGCAGTGAAAAAAAATCTGATTTATGATCATTTTTCACATTTACAACTGTTGCATGTTATGGTCATGTGATCAAAATTCAAACACTTGGCAACGGACTCATATTTATGGCGGTTGCAGTGTCCCTGGGTCATGTGATCACCTTTTGTGACCTTCTGATAAGCAAAGTCAATGGGGAAGCCAGATTCACTTAACGATCGCATTACTAACTTAACTGTAGTGATTCACTTAACAAATGTGGCAAGAAAGGTAATAAAATGTCTCGCTTAGCAATAGAAATTTTGGGCTCAATTGTGGTCATAAGTTGAGGACTATCTGTACAAGGTAATTTCCATCTAATAAAATATATTTTTGGGTTGCTTTGCATAGTACCCCAAATTATCACTGTGGACAACTCCTTATCCTTTTCCATGCTTAAGTCATCAGTCAATTAGATTTGATTTATTTATTTTATTTTTATTTGATTTATATGCCGCCCTTCTCCGGAGACTCAGGGTGGCTTATAATGCGTTAAGCAATAGCCTTCATACTTTTGTATATTTATACAAAGTCAGCTTATTGCCCCCACAAACTGGGTCCTCATTTAACCTACCTTAGAAAGGATGGAAGGCTGAGTCAACCTTGAGCCTGGTAAGATTTGAACCTGCAGAAATTGCAGGCAGCTGTGTTAATTACAGGGTGCATTAAACCACTGTACTACCAAGGCTTTAGAGTGAACATTTATAAGATCACATTATAAATTACCAATGTGATTAAAAGAAGTCACATAGAAGCTTATGGTATTCTTGGAAACTTAATGTAAGGTTCATTCCTGCATTTATGAATACGAAAAAAAAAACTCTATCAAGAAAAAATATTTCCTTAAATTATGGCATGGCTCAAAGCAATAAAGAGTGGCTTAAAAAGGAATTTTGCACTGCAAGAATAGTAGTTCATTTCAATGTTTTTTTGAAAAAAAAATACTTAAATAACATGCAGAAACACATCATTGCTGAAAAATAAAAGCATCCCCAGGATTGTAAAAACATAGTACAGTAGCATTATTTGCACACTAGAATCAGATTTATTTATATTTGATAATAGGTCCTCCAAATCTCTCGAGATCTTATGACAAGAACTGATAAAGACTTCAGCAAGAATGAGAAATAAAGAAGCACGTTTTGAATGACAATGGGCCAAAGTCTGCCCCAATTAAAATCAACAGGAGCTTATACAAGCTAGAATGCCTGCACACTCAGCCTTCCCTAGCCTAAGTAGGAAGTGTTTCACTAAAGAACGGCTGGACACCAATGAAACAAACCTTTGGTACCCAGGGTCTTAGGCCTACATTCATTTTCTCCCTCTCCCCATTGAAAGGGAAGTCTGTTTGTTTTTCTGATTCATTCAACCCTTTTAGCTCTTTGAATTCAAGGAGCGGACTGTGAAAGAACAGCATCTTATCCTTATCAGTGTGTTTCAGCCCATCATCTGATTAGCATCGCATGCAAAACATACAGCCTTCCAGTAAAAGGTTCATCCTCTTTTCTCTCCCAGCAGCTTCACCTTCATCACTACCTTCTTATGGTATCACAGATGGATCAATGGACAAAACTTTTCAAAAGATTTGGCTTACATTGTATTTGCAAAAAAAAAAAAAAAAAAGGAAAACTGATCACTACTGTATTATTTACATAGCCTTTTTTTCCTTTAGAAGACCTCTCCCTAATTAAATCAACCAATCAATTAATTTAAAAGCAGAACATACTATAAAAATATGCTAGAAATCTGCTCCTTCTTCAAAATGTTTTATGAAATTGTTAACATCGGGCTATGTACAAAATGAGAAACATTAAAGATTAAACTAATATTCCGCGAAACCTTTAGCAACATCGTCAACAACCCCTACACTTATACATAATTAAATTAAAATAAAGGAGTATTCTGTCACAGGGTAATCTCACTGAAGCAATCAGGATCACAGCTCTAATGATAGAAAGTCCAGTTCTAAAGACACCGATTAATTTTTGTTCCAGTCAAATTTCTTGCTATTCACGTTTAACAAAGGTATCGTTTTTAAATGCAGGTGTATGCCCAGAAGAGAAAAATAGTTTTATGAAGAGGCTAAATTAAAATGGAATGAGAGAGATCTGTGAATGAATAAGGGGCACTTTGGAAGACAGCTAGACATCCTTTCTCCAACAACCTCTTTTTTTTTTTTTTTTAGAACAGGATATTGACATAACCATTCTAGGAGCACAGTCTACTAGAATGTCTGTTTGGGGCAGAATTAAATCAACATGTCAGACTGAAACTAGTCATATTTCTTAGAATCCAATTTTCTTGTAGTCTGGAAAGGAAGAGGAAACAAATAAAGCAACAGTAATTTTGTGTGTAAGCCGTTTTAACCATTTCTTCAATACAGATAGCAAATGGATAAAAGGCACTATTGTATGCAATTTCAATTACACATTTCCGAGAATTACTTAAAGGGGGTGTCTTATTACAAATTAATTTTAACTTAGAGAAACCCGCGCCTTGGCACGATATCCACCTCTGCCCCATGGTATAATGTCTTTTTTTCTTTTTTCCTCCAAAGCAAAAATGCCTTTTTTGCTTGGGGTACGTCTCTCCCTCTTTACTATTTCCCCCAAATAGACACTACCGGGCTGAAACTTTCGTTTTCTAAGACGTTTGTCCGTACACTCTGTCCCTGAAAGCAATCGGGAGGAGGAGGAGGAGGCTTTATTACTCTATCCTGAAACAACATCGCTTTCTGCAAGACTTATATGTTGCCCAGTCTGGAATCTCTTGCCGGAACACAAAGAGGCGACGTTATTTCTTTCTTTCTTTTTTTTTTTTTGAGTGGGAATCCGCGTGATACAATTCTAAGAGGAAGAAAAAGCAAGAAGCAAAGAGGAAAAAGACAGCTAAGCTCGTTCCGGGGAGGGGGGGGGAGGAAAAGCGCTCGATTCACTAGACTAGATCCTCAAGATCGAGCCCCAACTACAATTAAGTCCCCACCCCTTCTTCTTCCTCCGCGCCCCTCCCTACGAGCAAACCTGCCCCCCCCCGCCCCACAGAAACTGCAACTTGATTCCTCCCCCTTTCTTTTTCTTTCTTTTTTTTTTTTACCTGTTTCCTATATGGAGTCCGGCTGCCGCCCGCAGAGTTGCCGCTGCTATTGGGGAAAATCATTGCCCAGCCTAAGCCCGAACTTCCCCTGCGGACGGGAAGCAAGTTGGCTGGGGCGCGATTCAGGGAGGCGACCGCTGGAAAACGCCTCTCTCTCCCCGGTTGCTGGGACGGGTCTCTGCTCCTGCAGCTGGCTGCTGCCTCGACGCCTCCGCCTGCTCTGCCTCCACCCCCCTCTCCCCGGGCTGAGTCTCTCATGCAACGCGCCCGTCGTCTTCCTTCCCTCTCCTGGGATCACCGCGCTGAGCCTACAGCTTCAGCTGGCCAGCCTGCCATAAATGCCCCTTCATGGATCTACCCAATACTACCGCTGCTGCTGTCCGCCGCGGCGACTTCAGCAACAGCAGAATCGACCCCAACTACCAGCGGCCTCAACCACCGCCCAGCGAGAGAGAGAGAGAGAGCAAGCGAGAGCAAGAGAGAGCGCGCAACCGAGCAGAGGAGGGGGGGGGGGAGTCGAAACAACTCAATCGGAAGACACCGAGCCGCTCCCACGCGGCGACGGCTACTCGGCGTCTAGGCACACGCCGCCGAGGGCTTTTTTTCCCTCCGGACCGCGCGCGACGCCTCGAAACGCGCGTGCTTCTCAGCCCGCCGCAGACATGGGCCGCTCCCGTCCCCCCTCCCCGTCCCGTCGAATGGTTGCTTCTGCCTCTTGCATACCGCGCATTCCTCGGGGTAGCCAGTCAGTCGGCGCGCTCTCCGATTCGCGGTGTGCGCCAAGGGTAGCAGTACCGCGTTCCGCAGGCAGGGCCCCCGGGCCGTTTCTGTCTGCGTGCGGGCGCGCGAACGGCGAACCCGGGATCCGTATGTGCGTGTGCAAACTTAAAGCGGAGCGCGAATCCCCGGCGACACAAAAAGTGGTGGTGTTGCTCGGGGGGGAAGGGGAAGGGGCAGTGGCGGGCAATGGCAAAAGTGAATTTCGGCGTGGGCGACGACGAAGCAAGTTTTACATTAACTCCAGGGGCGAACTGTAGCCACCTGGTAGGAAACGGGCCGCTCTTTTAAGTGTCTTTTAAGACAAACCATCACCCAAAACTACTGAAAACTAGAGCCGGGAGTTAATGCTACACCGAAAAGGTTCAGATGATACCGTAGTAGGAAAAGAGGAAAAAAAAAAAACCAATTCAGATGCCTTTTAGAGGTTCTTTTTGGCGTGTGAGCAATGGCGGGGGTTGAGCAAAAGAAGCAACAGCAACCATTTTCCGCTTAGGGTTTTTTTTCTCTCTTTAGTGTCACCGGATAAGTCCATTATTTGCTCACTTTGGTTTGGAGAAACGAGGGTTGAATACGGACGTTAGCAGAACGCCTTGGTTTTTTTTTCCCCCCCGCAACCCAATCTATTAGCAGGGCACTGCCAGCGCCAATAATGAAAGAAAGCCAATAACCTAAAATCCCTGAAGGAGACATCCGCGCCGCCGCAAAGAGTTTACTGGAGCATTTGAAGTAAAACTTCTGATTAGCGCCACACCAAGGGCTGAAACTAAAACGCAGAGCTCTCTTCTCTCCCTCGAAAAATGCCCTTGCGGCAGGAGAGCGAACACGCAGGGATGAATAGAAGCCACCACCCACTCTTGACGGAACTCCAGAGCTTGGCTGAAGCCGTGTGATCTCCAGTTATAGGATCCTTATACGGGCGCAGACCTGGAATGTGAAAACGCTCTGAAAGCGCCAGACCCCGCTGTTCGTCGAGCAAGCAGGTTGCTGCTAAACGATTAAGTCTGTATACTACGTGAGAGAAGAGGTGCTCTTTTATTAGACAACACAAGAAGATGAATAAATGCGCTTTTTCTCTTTCTCAAGTGTAAAGTGTAGCAATAAAGTGCTTTATTTTTATTCGTGCATTTCTGTGCAGTCTCCCGTTAGGGGAACTGTTATTTATTATGTGACAAGGAAAGACACTCGAAAATTTAATTCTAAATTAAATAGGATAGGATATAGCTAAGTCTTTTCATACAGAGAATAAAAAATACAAACGGGGGTAGGAAAACATATTTGTAATGGTTACGTGCTAAATGTTTGGAATGCAAGAGTTTCCTGCCCCTGGGGATACTGATGGCTTTTGACAGCAAAATTGAAAGACTGAACTCAAAAGCTACAGGGCAAGATAACCTTTACCCTAATTCCAGAATTTCAACAACAACAAAAAAATGTCTCTGTGTGTGCCTTTGAGTCAGTGTTGACTCCTGGCAACTGCCTGAACAAGTCTCTGCAGGTGTCTTG